GTGTTTTTGTTTTGGTTTTTTGTATTTTAGGGAAGGGTCTACAGGGTGTTCAGGGTCTCACTACTAGATCGGACTCATGGTGATCTGCCTGTTTACAGCCTCCCAAGAGCTGGGATTACAGGTGTGCACCACCACGCCCAGTCTCAGTTGCCATCTCAGTGCGCCCCAGGGGCGGGGCCAGCATAGCAGGTCTGGGGATCAAACCCCCAGCTCCTGCACCTGCTTGCAGGGGCTTTAATCTGCTGAGCTACTTGGCCAGCCACAATGTACTATTTTTAAATAAAGATTAACAAAAGAACATGTGTTTAAACAAGGCTGTTTTTTAGCCCACAGCTATTTTTAGCTGGCAACCTTTGTAACAGCTGGGAAGTCATTAGCCTTTCAGACCCAGAGTCATCGGGGTGGCATATCACAGGGCCCTGTGTACTAGATTAGTTACAGTCAGGGACTTAGAGTGGAGAGAGGAAACAGTTACACCAGGTTGAGAATGAATAGCTGAGGCTGACTGTGGGCTCATGGAAGGACCATCACAAGGGGCGGGAGTCTCGTGTTCTTCCTGCAGTGGAGGCTACACCAAGTGAGCCTTAAAAGCTTAACGCTGTCCTCCCTCATCATCTAGTCAAGGAAGGAGGTACAGCCTGTCTAACTTAGAAACTTGGAGGAAGGAAATGGAGAAGTGTGTTTAAGTGAATTTACCTTATCCTGAGTAATTGTGTTTGTTTTGCTACAAATAAAACTTTCCATGTTTGTAGTAATTCTTTTGACAGATCATTACACTGCTTTTTAAGAATTGATTGCTTTGTGCAGTAAAGTTTTATATTTTGTGTTTGTTTTTTTACATAGATAATCAAACTAAATAGACGCCTACAACTTCTAGAAGAGGAAAACAAAGAACGTGCTAAAAGAGAAATGGTCATGTATTCAATTACTGTTGCTTTCTGGCTGCTTAATAGCTGGCTCTGGTTTCGCCGCTAGAGGTAACCTCGGCGTTCAGATATATTGTCTCAGCTGCTGGAAATATAAAGGATTTACAAACGTCTTTGTTTCTGTCTTTGCAGTGTATGCGATTTTATATAGTCCATGCCCTAAAAAAAAATGTATTTCTTCCAGAAAGTAGGGGAAAGGACCTATATTTGTAGAAGTAAGGTATATTCTGTCCCTCTGCTGTACTCTCTTTAAGCTAGTTCTGCAGTAACATCTTACGTATAATTCTTTTGCATGTTTTGTAAATAGGTACTATTTTGTTTTTTGGTTTTTTTTAATTGGTTTTTAACCTCACCAGTCTGCACAGCTGATTCTCTGAAAGGGAGAGAGAATGCATCAGGAATGATTTGGAAGGGTGTCTGTAAAGAAAACAAGTGTTTTGTGCTGCTTACCACTAGGAAGCAGTTTTGTTAATAGACATTTTTGCACCACCTTTGGACATTAACACGACGTCATGGTCTGGTACCAGATTTAAGAAAATCAAACCACCTAATATTTCATGATCACCTGTATAAATTAAATTGATTCCTAACAATACAGAAGTAAAAAAAAAAAAGAAAGAAAGAAACATGCATACTTTTAAAAAAGTTTTTATAAATCGTATAAATGCACTATTAATTTTGCTTACAAATGCATTATTAAAAGATCACTAATGAATTATAAAATGTTTAGGAATTTAAAGCATCTTCCCAACATTCATGATGTAACAGCAATGATGGAAAAACCATCCTGCAGCAACTAGAAAACTGGACGCCATATACGAAGCAGTGATGCTGAGAGGTCCTGGGGGGCGGCAGCCTTTTGGGAGAACAGTGACCAACCAGGGAGGCACTACTGTACCACACTGACTCCCCGGAGGAAGCTTCCCAGCCTGAGCTGAGGAGCAGGAAAGGAAAGAAAGCCAGGCAGTCTTCATGAGCTACCAAGACAGACCTCAGAATGCAGGGGCCGAAGTGGCTGGGACTTGTGAGGTGGAACAGCCGAGACACGGATGCTGACATGGAGAGAGCTCTGGGGACCTGCGGAGAGGGCAGCTCAGGACCCGGCAGAGCGCTGATCTGTGGTGCAGGAGGGGACTCTCCCGAATCCAGGGAGGACCACATGTGTGGTGCAGGAGGGGAATCTCCCGAATCCAGGGAGGACCACATGTGTGGTGCAGGAGGGGAATCTCCCGAATCCAGGGAGGACCACTGCACG